TACCTTATGAAAAACCAATTATATTTGTTAAAAAATTGGATAAATATAAGAAAAAGGTACTCCCTCCGTTTTTTTTAAATATTACAATTTGACCGGCACATAGTTTTAGATAATTTAATTGGTTTAAATAAAATAAGAGGTAGGTGTGGGGTAGTTGGAGTATTAAAAAAAAAGTAAAAAAAAATATAGTAGGGTTAATAGTTTATTGAAAAATCTAGTACATACTACTAAAGCGAAATTAGGAAGACACTTGGCAACTTATTATTAAAAATTTCAGCAACTTTTGTGTGTGGCTGGCCACACCGTGTGGTCAGCTAACACACGAGTAACCCCTGAACGACCGAGTAACCCCTGACCGAGTAACCCCTGACCAAGTAATCCCTGACCGACCGAGTAACCCCTGACCGATCGAGTAATCCCTGACCAAGTAACCCCTGACCAACCGAGTAACCCCTGATCGACCAAGTAACCCTTAACTGACCAAGTAATCCCTTTTCTTCATCTTCTTCTTCTTCAATGGATCTCCTTCGAAGCTACTCCAATGGCGTCGAAAAAGATGATGACGACGAACAACCCCAACTCCAACCCCCACCAAACCAACCCGGAAACCCAACAAAATGACAAAGAAGACGAAGACGAAAGAAGACCTCAATCATTTAGCTCCCATCAAAATCCCACCGTAGTAAGAGCAAGCCATTTCTGCGAGGATTTGGTCTCCGAACTTGAAATTAGGGTTAGGGTTTGGAATTGAGAAGAAGGACTTGGATCGGAGGAGATAAAAGGAGTTGCAGAGGAGAAGCAAAAGACGATGAAGACGAAAGTGAGGAGTAAGAGAATGATGATGATGATGATTGGGGAAGATGATGAAGAAAAGTGGAGGTGTTTTCTTGCCATTGTTGGAAGGTAGGAGAGAGAAAGTGAACAAAGGGGGAATACGAGGAGTGAGAAGTGGGAAAACAAAAATTAAAAAAAAATTTAAAAAAATGTGGCTGACCACACGGTGTGACCAACCACATATGAAAGTTTGTCCTATTTTTCCCTCCAATATCACTTACTTAAAAAAATCATTGCTATTATCTAAATTATTACTTTATATATTTCAAAAAAAATATTATTACTTTTATACTTCGTATAAAATCTCAAATAAACTTACTAAAATATCAAATTACCCATTATAGTTGTTACATGTTTAACTATTTTATCTTGCATATTTTCATTGTTTTAATACGTATATCTCATACAGTACTTTGAAATACTTGATAAGTCTATTCATTATATTATTTATACTACGTATTTTTATATAACTTTACCGTCATTATAAATATTTAACAATCGTGTATTACATGGGGTTTAACCTAGTAGTGAATATGAGAAGAAAGAAATGATTCATAAAAAAAGTGTAATAGTGGGTTTGGGTGAGAACCATGAGACGAGATATATAGGTTCTGTTTGGAAAAAATAGCGGTAGTGGGTAGCTTTTAGCGGTCGAGTAGCGAATAGTTGTTTGGGTAGCAAGTAGCTGTCAATTAATAGTGAGTAGAGGTTAGCTGTCAAAGTAACGGTTGATAGTATGAGTGTTTGGCAAAAGTAGCGGTTGCAATATTAAAAAATATTAATAATCATATAAATTGTTAAAAAAATGTTAGCAAAAATTAACAAACGCTACTCGCTACTCTTAAACGCTACTATTTTTAACGTTTGAGAAAAGCTACCTAAACACTACTTCTACTGCTAACCGCTACTCACACCGCTACCTTGCCAAACACTCTTATTTTATTCTAGTAGTGTTTTGACTGGTCAAAACGCTAACCTCTATCTCAAACGTTACCACCAAATAGGGCCATATAATATTTAAATGTAGTTTTTGTCAAAAAAAAAAATATAACACTTACAAAAAAACACGACGGCATTTTAATAGAAGTAAGTGTAATTAAAAAAAAAAAAAAAAAAAAGCACAGAGGGATTAAGTATAATATATGCACTCAAAAATATTGTATGATACACATCTTAGATAAAGTATAAATCACTAGCCGAGTATCTAACTTAAGTTTTAGCATAGTTTTTTTCTTTCTTTGAAGCAAGTTTGAGCATTGTTTAAAATATGTATCATCTTCCACTTTCCACACATAAAAAGTAAATTAAAAAGATAAGTTGGGCCAATTCCAAAATTGGGTTATCGAAAATACCAAATGTACATTCATTTTAGCCAAATAGAAGCATTTCAATTTCCCATGAATTGTTCAACTTATCAAAAAAAAAAAAACAAAAAAAAATTCCCATCAATTTTGAGCCTAAAAAGTGGGAAACAAACCCCTACCTTTCATTTTGTTCGCTAGTTGTTCTGTTCACTTCATCTAGACTTTTATAGTGCCTAATATTTTTGGGAAGGTTTAAGGGGGAGTTTTGGCGAATCCAATAATTGTATCAAGGAACCGTCATATCCCTAGTTATATGGTGATGGTCGTGTTTTGATCAGTTAGGCCGACTCTCGTGCTTGATGATGAACGAGAAATGGGTCGTCACTTCCTTTTTATGTTAACTTTGAGGATTTCGATGCGTGTATTTGGTAGGGAAGTGCACACATAGTGAGTTGGATGAAGCTTATGTGTTGATGTAATGATGTTATGTTGTTAAAGCCACACTTCATCCATCTCTAATATGAAGTAAAATATACCTAAAAAAGTATGCGTCAAATATAAAGGGGGCACCTCAAAAATAATATATGGGGCAATTTTTAAAAGACGGAAGAATTACTCGATAATAATGTGCACAAGTATTTTGTAATACTTAATAGAAGTGAATTGTCTTACAATATGTTTGTTATTTATGTTATTATACTCCATACAAATCGACTGAATTTGATATTTGTCTTAAACTTTATACTATAGACCACAATTATATAATAAATGACTTTTTCTTGTCAACTTTTAAAGTTTATTATGCACAAAATTAAGCTTAACTTAGTTAGCTTCGACATGCTCCCTCATCCTATGATTATTACAAACCTTCGCTTATTACCAGTAATATCCACAACCCAAAATCAAAGATGATTAGATTTGATGCATGCATGGTCGATTATATTTAGAAGAGACATTCAAGAAAAGGATAGTTAGGTATTCAAATCCTCAAATAATGCAAGTTTCCACAACAAAGTCGCTTTCCAAGAGACAATTTAGACAAATAATATACTTGTACATATGAACTGTTCCATTTTTCATGTCTTTCTTGTGTATTGTCCACTTTGAATTACAATTGTCACCATTCTAATTTTCCAACCACACATCATTTCTCCATTATGAAGTATTGAAGCAACATTACTGCGGGAGTGACAAAGAAGAAAAGGAAGTATTATCCCTTTGGTCGACTCAAGTACAATCATATTTTTGTAGCATTATTATGATCGATCTATAATGTGTATCTTCCCCTAATTCCTTAGCAACTTGGTTTTTCGTCTTAGAGTCGTGTCATAGGTCATCATTTCATTTGCAAACGAGATTTATTGGCCTCACATTCGGTAATTATTAATACTCCTTTCAATTCTTTTTGTTCTTTCCATTTGAAATCTTGACAACATTTACAAGATCAGAAATTTTTCAAAATTACTCTTAATATATAAACAAAATGTAGTTATTTTGAGTTTTTCTTGTTCATCTCAATGAACAATTTATTAATATTCAACTTTTATACTTTTTTTTTACTAACATATAACTAAATAACTAAAGATATTCATGATCAAACTAATGCATTGACAAACATGCGAGAATCAAGGTTGGCCTAGTGGTTGGAGGCCCTCCTTCCACCCCTGTGAGGGGGGTTTCGATTCTCACCCCAAGCAAGTGAAATCCCTAATTTTCCCACTACTTGCAAGAGAATTCTCGAACGTTAAAGATTGGAGAGGGAGCATTTCGTTGTAGCTAGTTTGCGTAATTCATTGGACTAATTTGGTCATTTTAATTGTTTGTGTTGGTAATTTAAATAGGTGTTGATATCATTATCGATTTATAAAAGATGTAAGGTTATTTGGTGTTAGATTGTAAGTTTGTTACTAAACTACTATCTCTTGGATTTTAGAGTTTTCTAAGAATTTCCTATTGTTTTTTACAACTTCATAAATTCTATTTGGAGTTAAATACAGTACTAAATTCGTTGAACCCATTATTAGTGATGCGAGGAAAACAAACGCAAGCTTTATTCGAAGAGTTTTTGTTTGAATTAAGGAGGGGGGTTGTCTAGCAATCCTTTCAAATGGCTACGAGATTACGGAGTAGTAGCTCTTTTGTGTTCGTAAATATCCATAGAATCCTAAATAATTCATTCGTCTAGCTAGAAAGAATTCACGACTAGGTATATGCCTATATGAATATATAATCGATATGTAACAATAGAAATATGTATTATTGTAGATGTAGCATTCTAAAAGTATTTAATTGAGCATGTGAAAATGCGGAGGGCAATTTACTATTTATATTGATGGATGCATGGTGTAGAGACGGATCTTGAATTGTTAAATTAGTGGAACGCTAAATTGTTGTCAATTTCATTAATTCAATGCATGTTGCATTTATATGTAATGTTATTTATTCATTTATGATTATTATTTATAATAGTGGGACACTAAAAGAATTTCTTTCTTTGTGTAAAAAAAAAAAAAGAAATTCTTTCTATAAGATGGCGGAAAAGTGCTACTCAAGCCCCTTACTTGATACACTTATACGCCTATAGTCCATCCTATATATGCTCATGAAGTACATTTCTCGACATATCAAATATTTGGTTATGATGTTGAGTCTAGGGATAACATGAACAACTTCTATGCCAAATCTCATTTTCAATTGTTGTTCTCTAAAGTAAGGTGCATACTACTAATGTAACATGCTACCGTTAACAAACATTCAGGTCCTTGTTTAGGTACTCGTACAAATGTGGTTAGATTAGCCTCATAATTTTTTGAGGACAATCTAAAGTGTCCAATATCATCATTCAAAATTACACTTCTTATATTTCATTTGATGATGGGACATCCTTACTTTATCAATTATGATGATTATGAAAGTACAAGTTAATTAACTAATAACACAATACCTTTCAAATTAGAAGCCCTATTATGAAAGTACAAGTTAATTAACTAATAACACAATACCTTTCAAATTAGAAGCCCTATTGAGTGTTGACGTTCAACAAGATATTAATTATAGTAGTTAATAATTAGCATATATTAACAGAAACATGCAAAACATGTAACATCATTTCCGTACTAGAATTTTATTTAACTCCAAAAATAAATTATACAACTACACCCACCAAAAAATAAAAAATTAAAACTCACCAAGGAAAATCAGACATTTTTTGTGGGAGAAATATCAATCTCAATTAAATTATCCTCGTCATCAAAATTATGATAAACTGCCTTCTGATCTCCTGCTTTAGGCTTCATTAGCATGTTAATCATCTTCTTATCACCATAATTATACCCATAATCATCTAGAGCTATCTCAATTAATCCCTCTCTTTCCTCTTCATCTAATGACGAAGAACTATACGAATATGAATCCGAATCCGAACCCGAATCCGATTCGGATTCCGGGTAATACTGGGAAAGTGATGGGTACCTCTTTACTATTCCCGCCTTCCAAAACGCGTCGTTTTGTGATTCTTCTCCTTCTTCCTCCCCCTCATACGCCTCGTATATAACCTCAAGTGGCGCACCCACGTCCCAATCTAGGAAAACCTTCAGGCCGTATTCGGGTTCGGTTTCAGCCCGGTCCAAACTCTCCCAACCAGCCCAACCCTTTTCCTTCTTGTGGTCATGATTGGAAAACGAATCAATAATCTCAACTAACTGACCTGGATCACACGTTACATGTTCGGGATGTTCCGGTTTCGGGCCGGGCTCAATTGTAGAACGGGCTTTAACGATGTTACATTCCTCTTGTATCGGGCCAATTTCCACCCTATTTAGCTCAGACTCGGGTTCGGGCTTTGGCTTGGGTTTCAAGTCATTCTTAGTTATGACTAGCCGGGGTGCCTTTGCACCCTCGGCAAATTTTTTATTTTGTTGTTGTTTAAGTTGTTGCGACGTGCCTAGTCGCAACAGGGCGAGTAGGAGGACTAGAGTGGAGACCACAAGAGGAGAGAATAATAATTTTACGAAAACATGAGGGAAGTAAAGGAGGATTATGGTGTAAAGAGAGACAATGCAAGAAAAGAGAGAGTGATAGGAAGAAATAGTTGCCATAAGTGGTCAAGTGGTGGTGGTGTGAAGAAATGAAGAAATAGAATAAATGTCATGGGTTATAAGTTATGATTAATTTTGTAAGAGAAAATGGAGTAACAAGCATAATTAGCAAAGAAGAAAGTTGGAGAAGGCCCATAACACAAAAGGAGAAAGTGGGAGAGGATAATAGGAAAAAGTGAGGGAGCATTGGAATATATAGTGATGTGGGGGATGAATAGTGGAAGTTGGATTTAGTGTTTTGGGACAGCTTTGGATTATACAATGCGTGAGGGCAAAGGCATGTGGAATGGTAAAGACTAAAGAGTTAAATAAACCTTATGATTAATTAAAATAAATAATCCATAATTAGTAAATTGTCATTTGATATAATAAAACTAGCGTGTAGTCTGGGCATTGCATTGAGTTGTTACTTTAATTATTCCTTGTAATTATATGTAATTGATATTTATAATGTCTTTTTTTAATTAAACCTTATGATTTCCAGTTATATACGTTTGTTTTCATATTTGTTTCGGGGTTTTCTGATGTCCTGCGGGAGAGTTACAATTCCGAGACTGGAACCGGACGCCTGTACCTGCAAAATAACGGAGACTCCTGAGAGCTCCGCCTCCAACGGTCAAGTTAGTACCTGATTAAGGAGTAATTAATACAGAAATTAAAGTAATGAGGTCTCTCTAGGTGAGAGTATTTAATGTAGGTAATCTGCTTTGCTAGCGAGATCAGCCGGTTATTAGTGTGTTCCGTCAATTATTCGGTCCCTTGATTAATGAGGATTAATCGAGTATTTATAGCCTTGGGAAGCGTGCAACTCTCTAGGTTTAAGGTAAACCTAGGGCCGAACGGGCTTCTAGACTGAAATGGGCCTTGATGGCCGGTTGTCCCATTTGGCATGGGTGGACACGTGGCGTGTCTTAAGTGGTCCGTGGAGGACGCGTGGCGGAACCTGGTTGGTCCACTTGTCAAACGGCGCTTGGTGGATAAAAATCCCCTAATCATTTGCCCCTCACAGGTGGCACGCGACTGGTCACGTGTCGCCTGTGACAGGTGTCGCACGGTGACAGGCGACGGCCCGTTACAGGTGTCACCTTGCAGACGGCCGGGAGACTCTCCCGCCCAAATTTGAATTCGGAGGCGACCCTTCGCCTTCTCATTTTGCCTATAAAAGGAAGTGCTGACTTCGGTCATTTTCACATTTGAGAATTTTTGCGAGAACATTCGGACCCCTGAACTTGCTCTGACATTTTCGGACTTTTTCTGCCTACCGCCTGTTCTGACAAGCCGACTGACCCGAACTTTCAGGACTTCATCAACTGTCATCCATTCAGGTAACTCAGTTCTCTTACTCTTAATTTTCTTTTTATTTTTTGAAATGGCACCATGGAAGCACACGACACGCCCTAAGTTAGTGATCAGCCGGTCACCGGGGACGGCTGAATCTAGGACTAGGAGTGCCGCCTGCCCTTTTCTGGACCCATCTTTGCCCTTTATACAAAGTCCGACTGAATCTGTGTCTATGCAGAACGTGATGGCCAGAACAAAAAAGACTGCTAGAATATCAAACTCAGACGGCTCCTCCCAAAGGGTACTCCTTAGCGAAACATCTGACCAGGCGCCAGATGTGGAACGAGGCGACTGTCAAGCTGACAGTTCTGAGAGAGGGACCAAGGTGTTCCCTTCTCATCTAACCGTGGACATGTCCCATTTACCTTCTGCTCCTTCTAAGGGAGAGGAGGCGGGCCCCTCTAGGAGAGGGGAGGAGTCGTCCTCTTCGGACTCGTCAGGGGACGAGTCCGATTCCAGCTCTTCTGACCATAGTTCTTCTGACTCAGAAGAAAAACATAACCGCCTACAAGAGGCGAGAAGTTCCCATGCAGTGGAGAAGGGGGATAATTGGGCAGAGCCGTCCGCCTCTTACAGAGAGGAAAACACCCCCTACTACTGCAGGGTGCCCCGGGGCCGGATCGCAACCATGCGAGACAACGTGGCTAGCTTTATTGCTAACCACAAAATGGGCCCGGAGTATTTACTGTTTGTGCCGGATCCAGAAGATACTGTCGTCTGGCCGGCTGGTACCAGCTATGGTGACGGCTGTTTTGGCTGCTATGTGGCGGCCATCAAAGCTGGTCTGCGCTTCCCATTACATCCGGCTGTTCAGCGGATTTTAGATGGGTATGATCTGGGGTTATGGCAGTTAGCCCCCAACTCTTGGGTAAACGTACTCGGCTATGTGGCCGGGTGCGAACTGAACGGGGTGGAGCCAAGTTTTGAGGCTTTCGCCCACATGAACTATCTCAGCCGGACCCCTAAGTCGGGAGGTACCGGCTGGTATCAACTAACAAGCCACAGGGGTTACCTCATGACGAGAGGTAAGGCAAACAAATGGAAGGATTGGCGGAACACCTTCCTTATTATCGAGAGTTCAGACACGGAGCTGAACAAACGATTTAACAAGTGGAACAGGGATCCGCCTCTTCTTGCAGGCGGCCGCAGCATGCCGCCTGTTCCCCCAAAGGCTAAAAGAGAGATCCTAGACAAAGGACTCTTCAAAGTAGAGACTAGGGTGAACTCTACTTCAGGGGTACGAGAGCAAGTACCCCTACACTGCGTCCCGAGCTTCAAGTGGCTCTATGATGAGTACTTCTTGGCCGCCTGTGGCCTCGGCAGTCGGTGCTCTAGAGGTAGCCGGCCTGACGAATACTCTGTTTTTTCACGCCTTGTTTACTTGGGATTTTTACTAACTTTGCTGTTTATTTCTTTCAGCCGACGCCATGAGTAAAATAACAGCATCTAAAACTGCGGCGGCCATGCTGCGGGTTTCGCTAATGAAGCAGTCGTACGCCGACTCCCCCAGCAAGGAGGCACCCTTGGTAAGCTTTGAAAACTCTTCCCCTTTAAGTTGTATTATGCATATACTAACTCTTTTTGTTTTCAGTCTGGCACTCCAAGGGCTTCTTCCACGCAACAGCCGGACCCCAAGGCCCGGAGGACGACTGTTGCAAGCTCTCCTGGGTCTTCCAGGAAAACAGTGGCGGCTGAGAAGCAGCCGGCCACTTCTTCAAAAACCCAAGCGGGGCCGCCTAGATGTATGGACCCTTGCTTGTAAAAACTCACTCTTGCTTCCTTCTTGATTAGGTCTAACTTGTTTTTCCTTCTGCTTAATGCAGCCGGCCCCCAGGGACTTGACTTGGTTGAGGTAGCCAAGTCAATGGTTAAAGTAGTTCCTCCCTCTGACAGGGAGGCGGTCAAGGGTGCCGGCACCCTTGACCTCGATGGAATTTCGGGGATCTTAGCTGAGGTATACCCTTTTGAAGTTCCAGGACGCCTGTTAACCCTTTTGATTGGAAACTGACGCCTGTTTTTCTTTGTACTTAGGCCCTGCTCCGAGTCAACAGCCTTCGCAAGCCGATTGATCGGAAAAAACAAAGAGGTAAAGGCCGCAAAGGCTATGGCCGCCTCCAGCTGTGATAAAGCAATGTTTCAAATTGCCCAAAATGAAGTACTGACCATTGATCTTCTTTATTATCAGGCGCAGGCGACCGCCGCTGTTCGGGCTCAGCTAGAGGCGGCCCAAAAGAAGGTTGACGAGCTGGAGGGGACCGTCACCAAACTTAAAGCCGAGCTGAAGCCCCTTCGTCAGAAAATGCACTCTTACGAAGCCATGGAGAAATCTTTGGCTAACGTAAAAGAACGCCTGGTGAACCAGGAGAAGAGTCTTACCCAAGAGCTCTCGGACAAGGCCGAGCAAGAGAAACAAGAGCTCGTCCGGGAGATGGTGGAAGACTCCGCCCAAATCCAACGCATGACCTGGGAACGACTGTTCCCCAGTGCCGACTTTGCCTCATGGGAAAGAACGTACCGCCAGTGTTCGGAAATATATAATCAACAGATCCTGGCGGCTGCTGAAGAAGAGGCGATGGACGTTGCGTTGGAGGAGGAAGAGCCGGTTGTGGCGCTTGTGCCACTTGGGGGTAAGGCATCAAAAGATGATGCAGCTAAGGCCGAGTCCAGCAAGAAGAGTGCTGACCAGGCGGCTGCTGCTGATACTGAACTGCCCCCTTCTTAAGCTTTAAGTATATTTTTTCTTTTCACGGCCTGCGTGCCGTTTGCTTTGTAATTACCCGGCCAGGGGGCCGGGGTTTTGAATATTCTGCTGGTCTTTTATGGCCGGCTCATTTTAATCAAACTTTTTGTTTTTGTTCAAATTTGTCTAAGTATTTGAAATTTGCTCACTAGACAGACTGTTGTGTATGGCCGAACGTTAAGACAGGTACAAATAGTAAGTATGCCGCCTATGCCCCTGGACGACTGGTTGTCTGTTTCCAGGATAGATGATCAGTCGGCCATTTAATCAATCGGTATTCGAACTCTTTATTCAATTTGACCAAGTAAATAGAATTACCAAGTAGCCAAGGAATTTAAGTAGGAAAACAAGCGGCGGGTACCGGTTGTTTCCCTTTATTGCCAATGTTGGCCTCTAATTTGTTATTTGTTAACCTAGCAAGAGTATTGGTTGAGAGCCTTTGTTTATTAAAAACAAGTGGACGACTCGTACCTTTTAGGCTCAGTACTAAGTTTGAGTGACTATTAAGTTAACATAGGAGTTACTTAGTCTTCGTCACAATCTTGATTGAGTAGTAAAGGTATCAGGCGGCGTAGGCCGGCTAGACCCCTTGATTCACCAATGTTTGTTGGCTATTTACTCAATAGGTTATCCAGTAGGAATAGGGGTTCGAGTGCCCTTGTTTGTATAAAACAGGCGGACGACTCAAACTTTTTAGGTTCCATACCAAATTTGAAGGAGTGACTATGAGTTAACTTTGGAGTTACTCAGTCGCCGTCACTTTTGTTTGAGAAGTAGAGGTACCAGGCGGCGTAGGCCGGCTAGACCCCTTGATTCGCCAATGTTTGTTGGCTATTAACTCAATAGGTACCCCCTGCATTTATCCCAAGTAATACAGGCGGTCATCTGACTCAGATGTCAACTGCTACCACTGGTTTGGTTAGTGATAGAGTTATCCTTGTCTCAAAAACGGCTACGTGGTTGCCCTTTGGGACAGTCGTATAGGTGCCGTGTAATTAGTTTATAGAACAATGTTCCACCCAAAAGGGAGCTGCTCTCTGCGACGAATTTCATCCGAATGGATGCCGCCGGACGCCTGCTATAATGTTGGGACAGGTCGGATTAGTTTTTAAAAGTTAGATCAGTTGACTAGGCGCCTGGTCTGATCATTCGGCCGGTGGCCTTGGTAAGTTCTTGGTGAACGTAGGTGCTAAGTCAAAGAAGGGTAGCCGCCTGTTAGGCACAGGGTCGGCCAGGCCCTAATCTTTTTAGC